AACCAAAATGGTGCCTGGTTGTCTGCGCGCTCTATGTTTGTTCAACTTTGGTTTTGAGATTGGTCTTTCAGTGGTTGTATTATATCTTTTGTTGTTTGCCTTGGGCTGGTTATGTCCTTATTGTATATCCTTATTTTGTAATTTATCAAAGCTTACCCTTTCAACTAAAAAGAAAAAGGGAGGAAAAAAAAAAAAAAAAAAACTGAAATTGAAGTTTTTATTTTTGTTTCGTTTTAAGGGTATTTTAGGTATTTTAATTTTAAAATTGACACCTTATTTGCTCAATTTGAAAAATGTAGGCTTTGTTTTTTTTTTTTTTTTTTTTTTTTTTCAACATTATGTATATAGCAGAGGTTTTGTTTTGCACTTTATACTTAATTATATGTATAGAAAATGCATGTATATAAATACATATGCACATATACTTAAGAATATCATGGCCTTGACAAGATTGATAAGTTGTTTATCTTAAACGTCCACTTTAATGGCCCTTAACAAGTTTGAGAAGCATGCATGCACAACTTTGGCAAGAGGACCATCGTAATTCAACTACCCATCACCTCCAAACCATGAATTGACACGCAACCTCAGAAGCCAAAAGCATAAATTCTCCAGAGAAACATTGTGGACGTATGCCATAATCTGAAAATTAAGCTTGTTCCTTATGGTAAGCATATCCTTTGCGCACAATCCAAAAGATAATGGATATTGCGAACCCCCAGTTTTAAGTGCATAACTTTGTCATTCCAATTTATCAATTTGACCTTCAATTAGCTGCAACTTGATTTTTCACTGTTGTTAAAAGTACAGTACTATATATATATATATATATATTAATAAAAGGCACGTGCGATGCATGTGATGAATTTTGTAATTTATAGAACTTATATTTTCATATATTTTTTAATTATTTATAGTTTTATTAAAAATAAATAAATAAGCAAAACAGTTTCAATCCAGAATGCCTTAGAGAGTAATAATTGTCACCTCAAAAGAAACAAAATAAGGGTTTTCATTGATGGATGAATGAAAACTATAAACAATTAAAAAATATATAAAAATATAAATTCTATAATTTAAAAAACATTCATAAATAAAAAATATATAAAAATTATATATATTATAAAATCCGAAAGGGTACCAACAATTTTTAGATTGAAATAATTTCCATCTCAAAAGAAACAAAATATATTAGAAAATCCAAAAGGTACTTAAAATGTACGACAAACTATTCGAAAGTATAATTTTATAAATTCATAAACTAAAACTATTTGAAAATAAAATTATTCCTAAATTATTTATTTCTCAATTTTTATTTATTTTTGCATATCTAATTTCTTCATTAAATGAATCATTGTCAAGTATTAATTCTTTTAATTCTTCCACCCCAAAATAAGTTTTCACAGCCTTTTTTTTTTTAGAAATATATATATATATATATATATATATATATATATATATATATAAATAAATACTGAAACTCTTTTAGCCAAAAGGCCAAGAAAGGTTAGCCAAAAGGTAGAGAAAGATGTGATTAATATTTCTTTAGGTCTATAGTTTTATAGGAAAGCTCCATGTAATTCTTTATAACTCAAAACCAATGTGGGACATGAAAAATGAACTTTACTATGTAATTTGTAATTTGAATTAAACTCTTTAAATTAATTTTTATGAATTTTATTAGGTAATTTGTAATTTGAATTAAACTCTTTAAATAATTTTTAAGAATTTTTTATTTTATTTTATATAAAAACTCTTTTTTTATATTAATAAATAAATACTGAAACTCTCTTAGCCAAAAGGCCGAAAAAGATTAGCCAAAAGGCTGAGGAAGGTGTAATTAATATTTCTTTAGGTGTATAGTTTTATAAGAGGCTTTCATATAATCCTTTATAACTCAAAACTAATGTGGGACTAGAAAAATGAATTTTATTAGGTAATTTGTAATTTGAATTAAACTATTTAAATTAATTACTATGAATTTTATTAAGTAATTTGTATTTTGAATTAAACTCTTTAAATTATTTTTTATGAATTTTGTTAGGTAATTTGTAATTTGAATTAAATTCTTTAAATAATTTTTAGGTAATTTGAAATATATTTTGCTGTTAGAGTTTTAATAAATATTTTATTTGAATTTTATTAAGTAATAATTTTTAGAGTGACTTATATATAGAGAGAGTATAGATTTTTTAAGAAACAACAAATAGATAAAATAGGTAATTTGAATTTTATTATGTAATAATTTTTAGAGCTTTATAAAAATATTTTTTTTTATAGAGTTTCTATAATTTGAAATATTTTTCATGTTAGAGTTTTAATAAATATTTTATTTGAATTTTATTAGCTAATTAAATATATTCATAATAAATAGGTAAATATAGGTTATATATATGTGATAGAGTTTTATAGAAAATAAAATAGCTAATTTGTGGTAGAGTTTTGTAAATAGATAAATAGGTAATATGTTTTACAATTTTATAGAAATTATTTTAAAAACTCTTTTTATATCAATTAATAAATATTTTTTATATTAATAATTCTTGTCTAATTAGATTTTCTTTTATTAAAAAAAAACTCATAATAAACTGTAATTTATGGTAGAGTTTTAGAAAAATCATTTTATTTTTATATCAATTAATAAATATTTTTATATTAATAATTCTTGTCTAATTATTTTTTGGTTTATTAAAAAACTCATAATAAATTGATTAATAGGTAATTTGTGTTAAGAGCTTTATAAAAACTCTTTTAAAATCTCTTTTTATATCAATTGATAAAAAAAAAAATTTATATTAATAATTCTTATCTAATTAGATTTCCTTTCATTAAAAAAAACTCATAATAAATAAATAAATAGCTAATTTGTGTTAGAGTTTTATAGAAACTCTTTAAATATATCATTGTCTAATGTGATAGAGTTTTGTTGAAAATAAAATAGGTAATTTGTGGTAGAGTTTTATAGAAATTATTTTATTTTCTTTAAATATATCCTTGTCTAATTACCCAAAAAAATTTAGTACTACACTTAATCTTAGCCAAAAGGCCGAGAAATATTAGCCACAAGGCCGAGAAAGGTGTAATTAATATTTATTTAGGTCTATAGTTTTAGAAGAAGCTTACATGTAATCATTTTTAACTCAAAACTAATGTGGGACAAGAAAAAAGAATTTTATTAGGTAATTTGTAATTTTAATTAAACTCTTTAGATTAATTTTTATAAATTTTATTAGGTAATTTGTAATTTGAATTAAACTCTTTAAATATTTTTTAGGTAATTTTTTGTTTATAAAAACTAATTTTTATATTAATAAATAAATACTGAAATACGGAAAAAAAAAAAAATTTAGTACTACACTTGATCTTAGGTCTATAGTTTTATAAAGAGCTTTCATGTAATCTTTTTTAACTCAAAACCAATGTGGGACAAGAAAAATAAATTTTATTAGCTAATTTGTAATTTGAATTAAATTCTTTAAATTAATTCTTATAAATTTAATTAGATAATTTGTAATTTGAATTAAACTCTTTAAATAATTTTTAAGTAATTTTTTGTTTATAAAAACTTTTTTTTTATATTAATAAATAAATACTGAAAATCTTTACACATTTAATAATAGTATAGATAATTTGTAATTTGTATTAAACTCTTTAAATAATTTTTAGGTAATTTTTTTTTTTATAAAAACTCTTTTTTTTTTATATTAATAAATAAATACTGAAAGAAACTCTTAAAGTCGACCCAAGAAAATTTAGTACTACGCTTGATCTTATTCAAAAGGCCGAGAAAGGTTAGCCAAAAGGCCAACTCAAAAAATTTTAGTATTACACTTGATCTTAGCCAAAAGGCCGAGAAAGGTTAGCCAAAAGGCCGACCTAAAAAAATTTAGTACTACACTTGATCTTAGCCAAAAGGGCGAGAAAGGTGTTATTAGTATTCCTTTAGGTCTATAGTTTTATAAGAGGCTTACATGTAATCATTTTTAACTCAAAACCAAAGTGGGACAAGAAAAATAAATTTTATTAAGTAATTTATAATTTGAATTAAACTCTTTAAAAAAGTTTTAGGTAATTTTTTATTTATAAAAACTCTTTTTTTATATTAATAAATAAACTGAAATACTAAAACTCTTTGCACATTTAATAATAGTATAGATATAAATATAATTTTAAAATATTGGTATTTAAATATTATACAAAATTTTTAAATAAAATTATAAATTAGTAATAGGCCGAGACTAGAATTTGGTTTGCACATTTAATAATAGTATAGATATAGAATTTTGAAATATTGCTATTTAAATAATAGATTCGCTCCCCTGTGATACTAATAGGCCACAGAAATTATCTACCTGGCCAGGATAGAGCGACAATCGGAGAAATGGTTTGGACCAGATGCAACTCTTTAACTGGGTATTATGCACTGGTTTGGACCAAATGCACCTTTTCGTGATGACCACCAGAGTAAGCCCGACCTAATTTTATAGTTAAGCCCAAGCCCGGGTCAGGCGGAGCGGGGTGTGTGAGTGGTGAATAGTTTGGACCCAAAGTAGGCTAAGTCATCTCCTCTTAAAAACTTGGGTGCCCTTAAATCCAAACTCAAAATTTAAACTTGAGCTATATATATTCTAATTGGTTTCAATTTATATTCAATGTGGGCCATCCACTTCCCACGTATACATACTCATTACTTATCTTGCAGTGACTGGACCGGCTGGAGTGTTGCAGCCGGGCCTGTTAAGCATGCCTATTTTTTTGGCTTTTATTGGACAGCCTTTCATGGCTGAGTTTGAATTAAATAGTCATTGGGCTAGTTTTGGACAAATATTTTTTTATTTTTTTGGTTGGTTGAGAGTGTGTATTACATATGAAAAATGATTTTTAAAGTAAATAGTCCCGAATCATCTTTAAACTTTATTTTCCTAAAAAAAAAAAAAGTGATAACCCACTCATATGTGTGTATATATATATATTATCTCAAAAGCATAGATATACACGGATGGGGCTAAGCTTAATTTACACAAAGTTCCAGAAAAGAAAAAAAAAAAAGAAAAAAGAAAACCCTTAATTTGTACATTGTGTCATAATAATAATAATAATTTGTATACCTATCTAGTGAACAAATGCCATGTCCTCACATCCCCTATTCCCATTTAAACTTTTGTATTCTCTTGACCCTTCAAGCCCCATCTTTTCGCTCATCCTTCCATACTACAAATGAGCCAATATTTAAGTGGTTAATCACAAGACAATCCCTATAAACATGCACTCAAAACATAAATTTCAAAGGCTAGAGAAAGAGAGAGAACCTTGAAACTAACTATTTTACCAGGAAAAGATGCAAACGGCAGAGGAGAGAGTGCAAGCCATTGCATCTGTGTCGACGGACATACCACCGGAGTTCATTAGGCCGGAGAACGAACAACCGGGATCCACAACACGCCACGGCCAGGTTGCCGAGGTCCCCGTTATCGATTTCGGGAACCTGCAAGATGAGGAAAAGCTTGTGCAGCTCATTATGGATGCTAGTTGCGAATGGGGGATGTTCCAAATTGTAAACCATGACATACCAAGTGATTCTATTAGCAAATTACAAGAAGTTGGGAAGCAGTTTTTCGAGTTACCACAAGAAGAGAAAGAAGTTTATTCCAAGTCTCCTGGGGCTAAAAGTGTGGAAGGCTATGGAACAAAGCTACAAAAGGAAGTAGAAGGCAAGAAAGGTTGGGTTGATCATTTGTTCCACAAGATATGGCCTCCTTCAGCCATCAACTACCAGTTCTGGCCTAAAAATCCACCTTCTTACAGGTTTTAATTCATCATATTTGGTTTTCTTCAGATAATGTATGTTTTTTTTTTTTTTTTTTTTTTTTTTTTTTTTTTTTTTTTTTTTGAGTTATAGATATCATTATAATCACTATATCCACCACTAATTCGAGCTCAAAATAAGAAAGTAATAGAGGTAAATATATTGCTCAACTTACCCAAAAACATAGTTTTAATGAATTAACGTGTTAAAATAATATGCAACTAGAATTTTTATTTGAGAAGGTATTGTCGAGTATTCTTGATTTATTGTATACTTAATTTTTCGTGAAAATGACTCTTAAATTCTTAATATATATATATATATATATATATATATATATATATATATATATATGAGCAGTGCTATTGAGATGGCAAGAATCACGTGGAAATGAGAGACGTAGAGACATGTAGACTACTACAAAGGGTATAGTAGGAATGTTAAAGAATCCAAAAGATAATTATAATTGTTATTTTCTACACCTTTATTGTTGTTTTTAAGGCATCCGAAGGAATCATGAGGAAGTGGGACGTACTTAGATATGGCCTCCTTCAGCCATTAACTACCAGTTCTGGCCTAAAAATCCACCACCTTACAGGTTTTAATTCAATCATATTTGGTTTTCTTCAGATAATGTATGGTTGTGTTTTTTTTTTTTTTAGGCTAATTCATAATTCATATATCATCATAATCATTATATCCACCACTAATTCGAGCTCAAAATAAGAGAGTAATAGAGGTAAATATATTGCTTAACTTACCCAAAAACATTAATTGTTTTGATGAATAAATGTGTTATAATAATATACAACTAGAATGATGCATGAGTTTAGTTTCTAGTTACGAAGAATTTTCATTTGAGAGCGTACCATGTCAAGTATCCTTGAATTATTGTATACTTAATTTTTTTGTGAAAATGGCTCTTAAATTCTTAATATATATATATATATATATATATGAGCAGTGCTATTGAGATCGCAGGAATCACGTGAAAATGAGAGACCTAGAGACATGTTAGACCACAAAGGAAATAGTAGGAATGAAAAAGAATCCAAAAGATAATTATAATTGTTATTTTCTACACCTTTATTGTTGTTTTTAAGGCATCCGAAGGAATCATGAGGAAGTGGGAGGCACTTAGATAAGCAAATTTAAGTAGTTAAAAAGGTGCATCCAAACATGGCTTTACTTGTCCTAATTTAATCTTAAATTTCATGACAGGGAGACTAATGAAGAGTATGCTAAGCTCATGCATGTAGTGGTAGACAAGCTGCTTAGGACCTTGTCAATAGGGTTGGGGCTTGAAGGCCATGAGCTAAAGGAGGCAGTGGGTGGTGATGATTTGGTGTACATGTTGAAGATAAACTATTACCCACCATGTCCTCGTCCTGACCTGGCACTTGGGGTGGTGGCCCACACCGACATGTCAGCCCTCACTATTCTTGTGCCTAATGATGTCCAGGGCCTACAAGTCTTCAGAGATGATTATTGGTATGATGTAAAGTACATCCCTAATGCTCTTATCATCCACATTGGTGACCAGATTGAGGTACTTTCAAATAATTTCACTTATTTTCTTAGAACATATAATTCTGTTTTACTTGGTTCTGCCTTGGCCACAACATAATGAGCAGAGAACCACTACCTTGCTTACTGGTCCAATATGGCGGTAGGACTGGTATAGCTTAAGTTATATTTTCAATGCAGAATACTATATTTCAATGTCAAATGTCATATTTTAAGAGGAGTTAAAGTGTCAAAGTACTATATTTTTACAATTCTGCTTTAATAATGTATTTCATCTAAAATATTATTTTTTTACACAACAATTATTCTATGTTTTGAGAGCCCATTAGAGTGTCATATTTTTATTTTAACAACTTTTAACAATCTCAAAATATGAGAGGTATTTTAAAAGCCTATTGGAGTACCTTATTTTCATCCACTTACTATATTTTAAGTTTGAGAGGCCATTTGAAAACTACTATACTTGGCAATACTTTTGACAATCTCAAAATATGAGAGATCTTTTGAGAGGCTATTGGAGTACATTATTTTCATCCACTTACTATATTTTGAGTTTGAGAAGCCATTTGAGAGAGTATTGAAGATGCTCTTATATGAGTGCAAGACCCTCTCCATCTAAATCTGATATGGGACAAAAACCCATAAGAGTTGGCTTTTACATGTCAATTGCCGGTTGTGGAAAAATACTTTTGGAAAATAACACAGAGAGGGTAAATAAGTTTAACTTGCTCTATTATCTGATTTTGCTTATTTTAATTTTACTGAAATAAGACTAATAACTGTGAGTTGTGCAGCGAAAAATTACTTGCGTAGAAAGTTTTGTAATTTAAAAATAGATATGTCTTTCTAACTTTACTTATTTTAGCAATTAATCAATTAATCTCATACAAGATAAAATAAAGTAAAGTAAAGTAATAAAGTTAAAAATGACACCATAATTTTTAGCGAGAAAACCCTAATTGGTAAAATAGACGAACTGTTTGTGCAGAAAAAACCTCGTGGATTGTGCAATCCAAAGTAAACCGATCCACTATATTTGAAACAAAATACAATAGACTTTGACTCAGGCTCACACTCTATCGTTCTATCAAACGCCAACAATCCTCTAACTTTGCGACGTCCTGTCCAATAGCTCTTGACCTCAGGCTTACTCTTGATCTTTGTAGAAGTATTGCTAGTAGATCAAACAACACTCCTCGAATGCTTAGGCCCTTTCAAAGTGCATGTGATCGTTTCACCTCTGTTCTTCAAGATCTGGATTTAATGTAGAAGAAGTAGATTGCTTTTCTGATCGTTATAGATACAAGACTTTAATCACGATTAAGATTTGAATAACACTCTAAACTCACTCTTGTGTTTATGTGTGTGTTCTAGAAAGAATAACAGAAAAATCAACTTTGATTTTCTAGAAAAATCAACTTTGATTTTCTGCAAAAATATATCTCTAATAGGCTTTTAAGAAATCTGAAGTTGTAGTGCAAAATCCGTATCAACCTAGATGAATATCAATATTTATATAGAATTTTCAAAGACCTAGACATGCATAGAAAAAGGTAATTTTCATGCATAGGACTTTTGGTAGTATTCTGAACCAACTAGGAAGAAGAAATATAATAGGAAACTAAGTTACCTAATTCTGCTGAAGATCTTGAACCGATTCAAGAATGGCTGAACTAGTTCAAGATGGCCAGTTAAAATTCGAAGGAAGTTGAATGATTCTTGAACCGGTTCCAACGAGCTTGAATAGTTCAAGATGGCCAGTCTTGAATAATGAAGGCATCATACTTGGAAAAATACTATTTTGGTAAGTCTGAAAATATACTAAGTATAAAAAATGTCATAATCTTCTAAGATCTCTTCCTAAAGTGTTGTTCATTGCTTTTTTGACGATCTCAGTATATCATCTTCGAACAACTTTTCATTTTCGCAGCCGATCTCAATCTTGATATGGTAAATAGAAATTATAACACGATCGGACTTGTTTTGACACCGAAATTTGCCAATTACAAAAATTATATCTCACAATAACAACCTACGAAGTAAAAATAAAGTGTAAAGATCAAGTTAGAGATTGGAACTGGGTTTCTAGCATGAAACCCTTCTTGGAAGAAATCCGTCCAATTAGGACAAAAACCACGGATACTTTTACATGAGCGTAACAATCCAATATTTCAAAGCAAAATACAACAGACTTTGTCTCAGGCTCACACTCACCCCGCTCAACTAAGAACTAGTTGTTGAACACCTCTGGCTTGGTGATTCCCCCGTCTAAATGCTCTAGCCTTTAGGGTTTCTCAATCCATGTAAAAGGGTAGTTGGAAGAACAAGAACACTCCACGAATACTCTGTCCCCTCCGTATCTCAATTGAATCACCCTTTCTTTAAATTTGAATTTTTGAAGGTAATACAAAATTCTACTTTTCTGAATGGAATCATCTAGGTCTTCAATGATCTTGAACTTTAATCAGATAGAGAACACCATCTTAATTCAGTCTCATATAATAATGTGTGCTCTTAAATAAAGAAAACCACATAGAAAAATGAAGGATGATTTTCTGTGATAAAATACTCTAAAAAAAATTCTCTTGTGAAAATATTAAGGGTAATCTTCATTTGCACCCTTGAGATATGTCTATACGTCAAGGAAATCCCCAAGGTTTACGTTATGTAATGGTCAACTATGATCAAAAATATTTTGTGGTGACTTGATAAAAAAGTAAGTCATAATGCCTAGACTACCTTTCTTATTCAAATCCCCCCCCCCCCCCCCCCCGACACCAATTTCCTTTAACAATTTCTCTCCAATTTCCCTCCACTTTGACTTTATTCCCTCCAAACACAATATCATTTATTGAAATTGCAATTTATTTCATAATTTTATAAAATCAGAAATTTAAATCATTTCAATTCCTCCTTTGTAAAATTCAATTTCGAGTAAATTTAATTTCTGAAAATAAAAAAATTGGGCTAATTTAAACATTTCCTCATTCGATCCGAATTTCATAAAGTAAATTTAAATCCTTTCAATTTCTATCCCTTGTAAAATTTAATTTCCAAAATAAATTTAATTAAAAAAATTAGAGACTACTTTAAACATGTCCTTAGTCGATCCAAATTTGATAAAATCATAAATTTAATTTTCAAAAATAAAAAATTAATTACTAATTTAAACCTTTCCGCAGTCATTCCTAATTTGATAAAGTCATAAATTTAATTAAATCCTTTCAATTCCTATTCTTTGTAAAATTTAATTCCCAAAATAATTTAATTTCAAAAATAAAATCAGAGTTCTTCTAGGAACTCATAATGATTATATCGAGTACCAAAAGCGGTCTTCGGAATATCTTCTTCCTTGACGTACCCTCAATTGATAATAACCAGACCTTAATTCAATCTTCAAAAAATAACAAGCACCTTTTAATTAATCGAATAAATCATCAATTCAAGGCAATGGATACTTGTTTTTGATGATGACATAATTCAATTTTCGATAATCAATGCACAACCTCAAAGAACCATATTTCTTCTTTGCAAACAAAACTAGTGTTCCCCACGGTGAAGCACTAGGTCGAATAAACCTTTTCAACCTCAAATCATCCAACTACTTTTTCAACTCTGCCTGTGCCATACGATACGGTGCCATTGAAATTGGTGCCATACCGGGCATAAGATCAATAACAAACTCCACTTCCTTTTGTGGCGGTAACTCAACCAAATCCTCCCGAAACACATCCAAAAATCACATACAACTCTCGGATACAACTCCTTACGAAACCCGTCGTCGCTAGCTAAAAGACTAGCCAAAACGACATTACGACAATCACGACCCTTAACGCCATAAAATGAAGAGATGAGAGAATCGCCCCGATCTCCCACAAAACAAAAACAATCTTCGTCTGAAGTGCAAATTGACATTTTGCCCCTGAAACAATTAATAACTGCTCGAAACAATGACAACCAGTCCATCCCATGGATGACATCAAAACCCGACATCTCGAGAAGAATGAGATCAAACTCAAGCTCCCGCCCCGCAATCACAATGGCTCAACCATGGCAAACTTTATCAAGAACAACCGAGACTCCGACCAGTGTGTCAACACTGAGTGGCCTATTTAACCGACTAACCTCTAACCCCAATATAAATACAAACGATGAAGCGATGAAAGAATAAGATGCACCAGAATCAAACAACACTCTAGCCCACGAATGAAACACAAAAAAAATACCCCTAACAACTGATGGACCAAGTATGGCTCAACTAGAGTCGTAGTTGGAGTAACCACATACACCCGACCCTGGGTCCTCTATCCCTAAGATCCACTGGCATGATAACCCGTCTGTTGGGTAGGTGCACTAAATGGAACCCCCTTGAGAAGACATAGCTGACTGTGGTGATAGCGGTGGTTGAACCCCTGACTGGGTTGTGGCTGACTGTGTTGGCCTTTGTTGTGACCCCCTGCCACTGACTATATTACCTCCACGTTGCGGATAATCCCTCTTGATATGGCCTTACCGGCCACATCCAAAACAAGCTCCATCACCTGGTAAGTCCTGAGGACACTGTGATCTGTAATGGCCTATATGATCTATAATGGCCTAGCTGTTGGCATTGAAAGCACACTACGCCTGACCTGGAAGAACTAGTCAAAATGGGGGTGGTAGGTGCAGACCGTGCCGACTGCTACCCTGAAAACCTGATGATCCACCCTTGTGCTTCTTCTTAGATTGTCCCTTTGTAATAGTACATGCACTCCTGCCCTATCTCCATGACTCCCTGTTTGCATTCCGGTCATTCGCCTCAATCTCCACCACTATGGCTCTCTCAACTACCACTATATATACCTTGATGTTTTGAACTGCCACTACTGGCCTTATAGTGTAATGAAGGCCAAAAACAAACTTGCGAATTTTGTTCCCCTCATCTCTCACTAAGTCCAAAGCAAAGCGAGAGAGAGTAGTGAACTTGCTCTTATACTCCATCATTGTCATATTGACCTAAATGAGGTGATTAAACTCACTCTG